TTTTATATTGTATAAAAAATTGTGTAACTATTTTTCTTATTGGAATGGTTTCCTTGTATATGATGTAATAAATGATACATATCAGATAATAAACCAAAATTAGAATTAATTAACATTAAAAAAGCGGCACAATAACTTTTTTTTTCTTAACAATCAGATAATTTCTAGTGAAGATTTAAAAATTTTTAGAAATTATTTAAAAATAATGAATCTTAAATTAATAGAAAGTAAAAAAACTTCTATTACTTTTTATAGTATAATAGATTAATTAAATTTTATCGTTATCAATAAAGTAATAATTAATTAAATAATAAAAATTAATACTATATACTTAAATAAATTTATAAGTATAAAATTAATAAATTTGATCACCTTCAAAATTAACTAGATCTAATCTAAGATGTTAGTTATTTTCATTAGACACGTAGAAATTTCCGTGTAACCTAATAAGCACGGAAAAAATTTTTTTTTTTACGCGTCTTTGGTAAGAAATCACGTGGAAAAGTTTGTTGAGCAAAGAATATAAAAGTAATGAAAATTAGATATAAAAGTTAGTTGAATTCTATCGAGAATTCAAAAAAAATCATATTTCACAAAATTATCTACTGTAAAATTGCAAGAAGCTTAAGTTTAATAAGCAGAAAAATTATCTTGCGAGAAAATATTATTACTTAACAATATCGAGGACTTTAAGTGAAAGAATGGCACTCACAAGGTAATTATTTTCGTGTTCTCGCTTATTGATTATTGTAAATTAATGTTTGAAAATAATAACTATAGAAAGCCAGAGGTGAAAGTGACTTATGGTAAACGCAAAGATGTAACAGATTTAACTTTAAGGTATAAAATCACTTTAATATAGAATTTTTACGTGTTTATACATTAACTAGAACATTTAATTAAAATATAGTCCTTTACGAGACAATTCATTGTTACTTAGAGACGTGACCAACATTGAAAGTAACTTTAACAAGGAAAATACCTTAAATGAGCGCGTAGAATTTGATGAACAGATACAATCAAATAGGCGCATTATTACTGACAGTTTCTCGACTGTTAAGCTTAATGATGAGTGTATTGAAATTGGTGCACATTTCATAAGACCTAAAAGACGTGTTACAACTGGATCTGTATTACCTGCCGTTGAATTTAATGATTCTTATATGGGAAATGTAAAACAAGAAAGAAATTCTGGGATAGTAGTAAAACAAAAGTGTATAGGAGATTTTTTTAAACCTGTATCAGTTGAATTAAATAACAATCAACGTAAAAAGAAGAAAAAATATGCTACTATTCCGAGATTTAATAAAATTAATGATGAGAATAGAGAGAATGCTGAAAATAATTTGCAATCATCATCATCACGGCCTAAAAAACGCGTTAAAAGTTATGAACAAACTTATATTGACATTGGACAAAAGGATTTTGGTGCATATACATGTCCGGAATGTCAAATGTCGTACGTTCGAGGAGTGCTGGTTGATGAAACATTACATACTAACTTTCATCGTTTGACTCTTGAAGGAATTAAATATCATGTAAATATAAGTTATGGTATTATAAATATTATTATTATTATTTTGTTAATTTAATTAATGTCATTTCTATTTCATAGGGTTATCAAGATGAAGTTACACTGGAATCAATTGCTGAAGTCAATGGTCGTATTGTGTTGCTTGTTTATAATCAGTCACATTTCTTTGAAAAACATAAAGTAATTTAAATATTATCCTGATTATTCTGATTATTAAATTTTAAGCGAGATATTTTATTCAATTTTTTTTTTTTTTTTACCAGATTAAGAACACTATTGAATGGGTCAATTTGGAACTTGGCGCAGTAATGTTGACTGAGGAAAAGTTGAATACGAGCAAAGCTTACTTTTATATTGCTAATAAGTATGACATTGTTGGATTTGCTCTGGCCGTTCAGATTGAGAAAGCTTATAAAGTAATTGTAGATCCTTCAAGTGACAAAGCTCAAAATGAATCTAGTAAAGATTCGAAAATGCATACTGATACTGATGTTGGGTCAGGAATTTTTTGTTGGTAAGAATCGATTTTAAAACTCATTTCACGGCAAATTAAAATAATTACTAAAAGAAAATTTCTTAATAGTACAAATTATATTCGTGCTTTTTGTGGAATTAGTCGCTTATGGGTTAAAAAAGATTATCGGAGGAAAAAAATTGCGTCAAGGCTACTGGATCAAGTCAGGTATGTATAAATGAAAATTTCTTTTATTAAAATTAAATAAAACATATATTAATTCCCTCTGAATATTAGGAAAAATTTTATTTATGGTTGTGAGCTCAAGCCTAGTGAAGTAGCGTTCTCGCAACCATCTGGAGATGGTAAAGCTTTTGCAACTCACTACACAGGAACTCGTGAGTTTTTAGTATACGCTGATGATTAAATCGGTTGAGCGTATTGGACGCGTTTGATCAATAAGTTAAAAATAAAAGACTAAAAAAAAAAGTATATATAAAAATAAAATATTTCGATTTCTTATTTTTTATGGACTAAACGGACTAAACAAAATCTATAACAAAATTTTAATAATTCAAACCCATAATAGGTCTTTGTAAACAAGATTTGGAATTTAAACAAGATTTGATTTGTATAAATATTCTTGAATGTTAACAAAATTTTCTTTAATGGTGCGCATAGATGTGAATCGATATAGCTATAATTAATTAAATGAAAGGATTAAGAATTAAGAATTATATTGAAAAAAAACAAAATGAATTAAGTATTTACAAAAAATAATATATTACCAGGGTTGCACTTCCTCCTTTATCATTTGTTCCGGAAGAACGAGAACCACCGAAAGGTTGTTGACCTACGATAGCACCAGTTGATTTATCATTAATGTAGAAGTTACCAGATGCATGTCGTAATTTGCTTCCAGCGAGCATAATCGCGGATCGACTTTGTGCAAAACTAAATAAAAGAAAATTTTTTATTATTAAGAAATCATTAACTGAATTGATATCTTTATATATTATCAACTTACATGGAACCAGTTAAAGCGTAGGAAGATGTTTCATTAACCAAATCAAGAACTTTTTCGTATTCATCAGCTTTATACCTAGATAACGTATAAAAATGTGGATTAGTAAGTTGTTTAAAAGCAAGAAATTCTTGTTGGATCGTCAGAATAAAATATTTACTTACACGTATATAGTAAGCACAGGTCTAAAAATAGAAAGATAAAATTAAAGTTAACAAGTAATTGACTTATTAATTTGCTCAAACTTTTAAATCAACATACCCGAAAATTTCTTCGACCATTGTCCTGCTTTTTGGATTTTTAGTGACGATAATGGTTGGTTGAACGAAATAACCCTTTGATTTATCATAAGTACCACCAGCGATTATTTCACTATCAGCATCTTTAGCTGCCCAATCAATGTAACCTTTAATCTTTTCAAAAGATGCTTCGTGTCTACAATTTAGAAGTTTTGAATTAAAAGTTTTGAAATTTTTATTTTATTTCATTTTATTATTTTTTTTTTTTAAAAAAAAAAAAAAAAGGCTTCGAAGCGTATAATAATATCATAGCCGGATAGCTTACATGACCGCTCCCATGAAATTGGAAAAGTCTTCGGGAGAACCGACATTAATTTTGGAATGTTGTTGTAGTAAAAGCTCTCGGAACTCATCCCATAAGGTATCAGGTATATAAGCTCGAGAACAGGCGGAACATTTCTGACCCTGATATTCGAAAGCACTGCGAATTGTTTGATTTACAACATTCGGTACATCAGCAGACTTATGTACCATATGAAAATTTTTGCCACCGGTTTCACCCACGATTCTTGGGTAAGATTTATAGGTATCGATATTGTTTCCAATGGTCTTCCATAAATGTTTAAAGACAAAAGTGGATCCGGTAAAATGTAAAGAAGCGAAATCGGGGGATTTTAAAATCACATCAGTGATTTCTTCAGCAGGACCAGGTATAAATTGAATTACACCATCAGGTAAACCAGCTTCTCTTAAAATTTCCATTATAACCCAATTAGATAGTAAAGAACTTGGAGAGGGTTTCCAAAGTACTACATTACCCATTAAAGCAGGGGCACTTGGTAAATTACCAGCAATGGCAGTAAAGTTAAATGGGGTGATAGCGTAAACGAACCCTTCTAAAGGACGATATTCGACGCGATTCCAAACGCCAGGAGCATTTTTAGAAGGTTGTTGTTGATAAATCTCATGAGCGTATTTATTATTAAATCTCCAAAAATCAATTAATTCCGCTGCGGAATCGATTTCAGCTTGCCAAGTATTTTTCCCTTGTCCAAGCATTGTAGCAGCCAATAATTTAAATCTATATTTTCCTGCCGCTAAATCTGCCGCTTTTAAAAAAATGGTTGATCTTTCGTTAAATGGATAAGCTTCCCAAGTTGATTTTACCGCCAATGCACCTTCAATTGCTTTTTTAACGATTGAAGAATCTGCCTCGTAAGCTTTAGCCAAAATCGTTTGATGATCTGATGGTATTCTTTGTTCTTGAATTTTACCAGTATGAATCTATTTATGAATGGAGAATGAAATTGATTTTGATTTATAAGAAGACATGGGAATATATTTTATTTTAAGATGACATAATATGCCAGGTAAAAAAAAAAAAAAATTACCTTTTCTCCGTTAACGAGTATGGGAATTTCAATGGGTGCCTGAGCTTTAAATTCGTTCAAAGCAGCAATAAGGTTTGCACGGTCCGAACTACCCGGTTCAAAATTCCTCTGATAGAAAAAAATCGTATCTTTTTAGATCAATCCGGATAAAAAAAAATAAAAGAAAAAAAAAAGTCTACAATAAATAATAATAATAAAGATAAATCACCATAGGTTCATTAAGGGTTTCGGGCAAACTAAAGGTACCGAGAGTAGCGTTTGTGGACATTGCGAAATAACGTTTTCTCAAATTTAAGAAATTCTTATTAGAAAGAATAATTCGTGAAGGATTTGAAGAATGAAAATTATTTAAAAAAAGAGATCGAAAATTAGATGTGATTTTATACATTACTAACTAATAAGCTAAATTTTTTTGGAAACTGTAACCTGTATATTATTTATAACATTTGCAGACGGGCAGGTTGATCGTGAGAACCTTATTTTTCGTCCAACATTATTAAATCATGAGAAATTTTTACCCCAACATCATAAATTTCCTTTATTAAAAAAAAAAAAAAATAGGGAAAAACTTTTATACAAATTGGTGGGGATTTACATTGAATGTTCTTTGAAAATTGTATTATTCTTTTTTTTTTTTTTTTCCTTTTATTCGATTGACTTGAAAGTTGATAACGTAAATAACAATCAGTTTATGACAACTTTTCCTTTGCAAATACCCTTGTACATTCAATAATTAATTTTTCCGTTATTCCATAGTTTATTAAAAACAAATAACAATAATACTGCATTAATATTGTCTCAGGGTCAGCTGATGAATATTTGGAGTTTCAATTTGTCATATTTGTCATGTGTGATGGAGCGTGTGAATGGAGAGGTAGATATGTTACAAAAAAAGACGACGTCTCCTTTATTAAAGGGATGATATATTCATGTGATTCATCGGGATCGGGTATGTCAGAATATTGTTCGGCGCAGTTCTATAATGTTGATTCGTTCTGAAATATGAAATATCGGATATTTCTTTTTTTAATGCAGGTGACCAACGAATTGAATCGAATAATGAATTTTAATGATACATTAAAAATAAAAAAATTTTTTTTTTATCCTTTGACAAATTAATTTTTTAATTTTTTTAAATTTTATATAATTTTATTAAAAAAAAAAAAATCTTTTCTCGATGCATTCGTTAAAATCTTTAATCATCGGATCGATCCATTATTATATTTGATATCTTTTATTGAATGAAGATTCCAATTATACCGGTTGCAAATCAGGGAAAATTATTATAAATATATCTTTCAATTGCTCATATCATCGATTGCGTCAAATCTTTTAAAATTGTGTTTAGATTCATCATCATTCAAGAATCCAGTGTATGCTTGTAATATATGTATGTAACGTAAATGGAGTTACACGTGATTTAGAAATGATGCAGATCGTGCCTCGATAATGCACATATACGTATAATTTCGTTATTAACTGACTTGAAATAGAAATTCATGGGTTGGTCCGTGATCTTTATGTATGAAATGCTACGTGCTTGTAAGAAATGAATTACTTATTTATTGAAATACTTAAATGGATTGAAAGAAATAAAGTTTTAATTTAGGTTATAACAATTTTTAAACCAAGGAGACACAGATTTCATTTTAAGCGGCTGAAACAACTGAAAAAATTAATATTTCAGGTGGGTGGTTTGTAAATGTGAAATGAATATATTAAATACAGATTGTTTACTCCCTTTTTCAAGGTGACACTGTTTGTACACACTTGTGATATTAATAAGAAAATTTGAAATTACCTTATTTAGGTATTTACAAAAAAAAAATTTTTTTTCCTTTTGGACTTTCCGATCGAATTGGATGAAATGATTTTAACGCAATTAGTTAATTAGTTTGTAAATAAATAAGATAAAATGTTCCCTCATTGTATTTCGGCAGGTTATACAAATTGCTTTACTGGGTATATCTTTGAAGCATTTTACACAAGAAATTATAACGACCCCACGAAGTTCCCATGTTTAACTTTAATTTGTAGATCCCTTTGGTTCATATTTTACCGACATAATCCGCTAACCAGTTGAAGAAATAATAGAAAATTTACAATGCCTAAATTTTTAGTCCCTTTATAAGGCTGAATTTAAAGCAAAAAAAAAGCTTCGAGAAAAATGCAAAGCATAATCTTGCTTTTTGCGTTGGTTTTGGAAGATCTTAAAGATGAACCGTTCTTCTTATTCGCTGCTTTTTTGAACGAGAGAAAAAATCAACAGTGACACAGAATAAGAATCATTTTGGGAAATGAATCATACTTTATTAGCCTTCAACAAAAGATTTCTTTATTATTATTACACCTTAAATTCATCACGGTTAATTTATTTCCTTCAAAAGAGTTTTAGGAATTTCTTGAAAAGGATCGGCTATCAAAAAAATTTTTTTTTTTTTTTGTTTATTAATTGCCTCCCCCTCCATTTTACACAATTGAACCCTTTTTTTTTGCCCACCCATCAGCAGATGTGGTGTTGATTGATTGATTATCGGAGTTTTTATTTTATTTTTTTTTTTTTTTACAATAATAATAAATAATAAACTCTCTGTTGAGTCTAAACTTGGTTTATTTCCTAATTTTTCTTATTTTACATCCCCTTTTATATCAATTAATATTTATTTCTGTTTTCATTCCACTCTCTTCCCTTTTGTGTGCTTCGTTTGGAATCAAATAACAGGAAATAAAAAAATAAAAAAATAAAATAAAAACAATTAAAACGTAAACGAGC